CTGTTGTATCACAATAGTGCATAGTGCATATTAGAACATGATTATGTATGCTTTTATTTTATTTTTTTGGGAATTGTAGGTAATGCAGCTAATGTAGTTGGATGTGGTCACCTTGGAGATGGTAATTTGCATTTAAACATTTCTACTACTCAGTATGATGACAAGGTGGCTCAAGCAAACTCAAAAGAACTGTTTAGTTTCGAAATCATTCTTTTCATTTTATATAAGATCAACAGTATTAAAATTTGCAGATTTTATCACAAATTGAGCCATTTGTGTATGAATGGACATCTAAGCACCATGGCAGTATTAGTGCAGAGCATGGCCTGGGACTAATGAAAGCTAACGAGATTTTCTACAGCAAGTCACGTGAAACTGTATGTATACTATTATTGACCCAAGTTGCAGTTCTCTATTTGTGAATTGAATGTCTAAAGTATTATCAAATTGAACAGGTGCAACTGATGGCTTCAATCAAGAATTTGATGGATCCCAATCACATACTCAACCCATATAAAGTTCTTCCTCACTCTCTCATTTCCTAGTCTTACGAGGGAAACTTTGATCTTTTGTTTGTATCTTTGCTCACTTCCCTTCAAAGTGAGATAATGGTTGCTTCTTTGATCCCCTTAGAATGCTTCCTTCATTTGCTGCCAAAAAATAATTTACTGTTCGAAACCCAAAAAAAGAAAATACTTACTGCGACATTGTAGATAATAAATAATTATGTACTAAATTCGTGTTAATCTTCCATAAATGTCCATTTTTTAGTCCATACAAGCAATCTTTTAGATGTTATATTGGACTTCTCCGTTGAACTCGGATCAGGAATCAACTATATTTTTATATAAATATTATTTAGTTTAATAATAATAATTTAGGACTCATTTATTTTATTTTTGAATGAATATTTTGATAATAAAATAAATGTATTATAATTGAAAGAAAGTACTTTGTCCTCCATATATTAGCGATTTGCGGTCATTAAATCAAATTGAGAATGTATCGCTATAAATATAAATAACCTTTAAATATAGATTAAAATTCTCAATAGAAACGATCCGACCATGAATTATGTATATTTTTTGTTTATTTAATTTAATTATGTTTTAGAAACTTTGTTAAAAAAATTAATTGAAATACATATTTGTGAAATTTTATAATTATTTAAATAATTTTTCTTAGAAAAATAGCTTTAGTATTTATTATAAGTTAAAAAGTAGAGAAATGTTATATTTATCACAAATTAAATTTACCACTTCTTATCATTTTTTTATAACCATTAGATAGTGGTCACTAAAATATGATGGAAAGAGAAAGTTGAGAGATAGAGTGGAGAAAGTGATGAAAGGGAGAAAAAAAATTATATCAAATGACAATCGTTCATTTGATTTTATGTGACGGTTACAAAAGAGTCGATAAACTTAGCTGGTAGATTTTTTCATCTATTAATTAATAGGGAAATAATTATCTCATGTTGCATGAGATAATTATCTCATGCAACAGAGACAATATAGCGGGGTTCACTATTTTTTCTCTTTTTTTCTTTTTTTGAAAAAGTAGTAGACCCTACTATTTTGTCTCTGTTGCATGAGATAATTATCTCATGCAACATGAGATAAATAGATCCCTAATTAATATGACCACGTCATATTGAAGAATTCTAATTATATAAGGGTAGATCAGTGATGATGAAGGAGTAGAGAGAGAAAAATATAAAGATAATAAGTTACAAGATCATCATCGATGATTTGATTATTGACGATTAAGATCTTCTCACATAACATGGTCATTTTAATAACCCGTGAGATGATCTATTTATAATAAAACATGATATGGTCATGTAAAAAAATCATAATCATATAAAGGTAAATCATGATTATGTACCTATCTATTTCAATGTATTTTTTTTCTCTTCCCTTATCATTATTCATTCACTTTTGTATGTTTATGATTCCCCCACATAACTATATCATATTTTATTTAATATGAGAGGATCCACTCCTAGTTTTATTTAACATGAGAAGATCTATTTTCAAATTTTATAAGCAATAGAGCTTGTTTGATGCACCTAATAAGGAAGATATGATAAAATAATTTATCCTATGATGTTCTTATGCGTTGTTTAGCAAGCCCAGGATATAGAATAAGCTTATCAGGTTGAGTTCTTTTATTATGTCCAAAGTGTGATAACTTATTCCAAAGGGGTTTGGGTTAGAAACCAATAGAATAGGATAGTAAAATTTAATTTTTATTTTATTTCTCATCTCATCCATAGAAAATGAAAGCATCTTTCTCTAAGCCAAACCTTTTCATATCCACCAAACCTCTTCATATTAAATCTCAGATTTTCCAACACTTTTTACTCCCATAAATCAAAAACATAAAATAGACAAATTTGCAATCGAATCAGGGAAAGATGCGCTCAATAATCCTAATCGACGAACAACGGGAGCAAATCTGAAAAAATAACGAAAAAATCCTAACGAAAATACTTTTTTTTTTTTCTCGTTCTCGCTTTGCTTGGGAAGCGCAACAAAATGAGTTGATAAAGAGGAGTATGGGGTAAAAAGAGATATTTTGAAAACCATAGAACAAAAGCAAGGATGCAAAACGCAACTGTATTAGGCAGGTTGCTTTTTTACAACTCCTGGAGTGATCACTACTATGAGAGAACCATATTAATCAGGCATTCATTGTCACTAAGATTTTATAAAAATAAATAAATTATAAAAGATATTTTAGTCCATTTATATCATTTCCTCCTGATGATATTTAATACACTTCAAAGTTGACCTAAATATCAAAATGTAGGAAGTAAAACAAAGGAATCACTTTTTTCCCAAGATGCGTTTCGTAATGCATTACAGTGCTTTTTCTTTTGTACGAGTTTTCTAAATTCATCAATAACCTCTCCCGATAACAAAACAAACAAAGTCGGAAAAATCGACCAAAAGTGTCATTTTTTAGCAAATTTTTTACTCAAATGCCATACAAACCGTATTTTTTAACAAATTGTCACGTGATGTAATTTGCTACAACTGATAGCAAATTTTGTTCGTCAATAATATTATGACATGTGGCACATTTTCATAGAAAAAAATTGACTGGACTAAATTCCCTACTAATGGTAGCAAATTTGGTACGTAATATGGCCACGTGTTATGAAATTATAAGCAACGAAATTCACTATCAGTCGTAGCGAACTTCGATGCGTGGCAATATGTTAAAAAGTACTATTCGCGTGATATTTGGATAAAAAATTTGTCAAAAAACGACACTTTGGTCGATCTTCCACAAAATGAGCCTTGTAGTTGCATCTTCGTTTTGTTTTGTTTTTAATTTTTGCAATATTGGTTATGTACAGAATGCCTAAAAGAAATAAAAATGAAATGCTGAAAGCCGGCAAAAAAAATTTAAATTTACTTTTTTTAATAAATAATTACACAAATGTAGTCATTTTGAAATTATTTACGCATGTATAGCAGTCAAACACGCTCATATAGGGCGTGACCCAGTGGAGAGAGACACGCTCATGTGGGGAGTGACCTACGTGAGAGCACGCCCACATGGGGCGTGACTAGGAGAGAGACACGCTCAACAGGGGCGTGATCTCCATGGTCAATAGGGGTGCTAAATGAACCAGAAGCCTTTGGCTTGACTCGTGAAAGCTTGAGCTTACATGTCTAAAATTGGTTGTTAGCACCCGCCGTAGACTTGTATAAAAGCTCGTTTAGTAAAAAAGTCTCACGCTCAAACTCAAAAGTTCGGCCTTAAAGCCTCTCAGGCTGGCCTAGTATATTATTTTATATTTTTATACTACTTGTAATAGTCATCTCTTTCTCCTCAATCCATTTCACCCCATTTTATTGGTTAAACAGACTTTTTGAACAATTTTGTTCTATATTATGTTATTTGGATATAAATTGAATTTATGAATATTTATGAAATTACTAGTGTTGTTGATTATACATTCTGTTTGGATAAATTTTTGTTGTTTTATTTTTTTAAAGCAGGCTAACGGGCTAAACAAGGCTTTTATTTTTTGTAAATAAGTCAGGCCACAAGCCGATAATTATATTTATAACCGGTAACGGGCTTGGTTAGGTTGATACATTTAAATACAGACTTAGTCTTTTAAAACCAAAGCTCGGCTCGGCTCGACCTATTAACACCCTTATTGGTCAATATAACACACTCAACAGCTCAACATGAGTATTCACTTCATCTGCTTGTTCTTGTCACTCTCATCTTTCCATGTAAGAATCAGCACATCACACTTCACCGAGCACATTTCTTCTTACTTCAATATAAAAGGGAAAAACTACTCTTATGTTGCATAAGAGTAGTTTTATCTCCTATACACTCATCGAAAATCGTGACATTCATTTTTATTTTTTTTTAAATGGCGGATCCCACCACATATGTGTCATAACATGAGAGAAGATCTCTCCTTTAACATAAGATTAAATGAACCCTATATAAAATGCATATATAATCTTGCTACATTGCAATGGCATGACTTGTTTGTCTTACATTACATGCATGTGTGTCGTTTAATGTTTTGTCCATAAACGCCATCTAGAATCAGCAGTGGGTAGTGGATAATAGCTTTCATCTATGTTGCACTGGTATCGACACGAGACACAAGATATGATACGGACACAAGATATGATACGACACGGCACGTTTTGATATTATATAATTTTTTTAATTTATGTAATGTATATTATATTTAGTATTCAATAATTTAACAAAAAAATAAAGCTAAACTTATAATACCAATCAATGTTGTAAAGAAACATAATATATATTAAACTAAATAAATCGTAACCGTAATTTAACGAATCTACTAGTTGGAACTCAAAATGTAACACAACGTAACACAACATAATATATCTCAAATGTTTATATTAAAAAATAATATTTAAAATTTTTTTCCTAGAAACTAATAATTTTTTTTTCCAATCATTATACATTGGGAACACTGGGGAGAAAAGTCGAGCTATTGCAACCAGCAACAGAAACTGAAGCTGAAAAATGGTGAATCAGAATAGCAGAGCTACCCTTCGCTTGCTCACACGCTCCTTCAACCCGTTCTTCCATCGCCGAAGGAACACAGCTCTTCTCCCTTCTGCAACGCCGTATTCTGATTTTACTTTGGGGACAGGTTTTGATGAAAACTGCAGACAGTTACAACGGAACATAGTTCGTGGGGAGTGTAAAGATTTGTCTTTTTTCAATCCATTAAGAAATTTCTTGAAAACTAAACAACTGGGTGTTGGAATTACGAGTGGAATTCAACATAAGTGTTATGGTTCAATGGCTGGGTTGGTTGATAGGAACCCCAGATTCTCAAAGTTGAACGATGATGATGTTAGATACTTCGAGGGGATATTGGGTAGCAAAAGTGTCATACAGGATGAGGAAAAGCTCATCCCCGCAAACACTGATTGGATGCATAAATACAAAGGCTACAGTAAGCTCTTGCTACAACCACGGAGCACTGACCAGGTTCTTTTATTAATTTATTTGCTTTTATTGAATTGAATGAACAATTACCCTTTAGAACTTTGGTTCAGTGAAGTATTTGGAAATTGGCTTTGTCCTGTGTTTTCTTTGTTTAATTGATTTTTTCCCCAATTATTTCCCTTTTGCAGGTTTCTGAGATTCTTAAATACTGTAACTCCAGATGTCTGGCTGTTGTTCCCCAAGGTGGAAACACTGGTCTTGTAGGCGGAAGCGTACCTGTCTTTGATGAAGTATAGTGTATACCCTTTCATTCGTTCTCTTACATTACAAGGGTTCAACCTTGAAAATAAAAATAAAAATTACAGTATTACAGGAAGCATATTATGCTTTTTTTTCCTATCGTGTATTGACAAACATCCTATAATCTGATGCTGCAGGTGATTATCAGTCTTAGATCTATGAATAATATCATATCTTTAGACAAGGTAGACCATTTACTTCTTGAAAGGCATATTTGTTACAAGCTCCCTCCTTCCTCTGTATGTGTGTGTGTGTGTGTCTTTGTCTATCTGGTTTTGGATGAAATTTTTTCTTTAATTGTTTTAGAGCTTAATATGACTTTTATTGAGCACTGAGCAGCATTTGTGTCATTAAAAAAAATAGAAGCATCCCGTCTTCTTATATCAATTTCTTAATAGATTATTGCTTTCCTGTCCTATAGCCTTTTATTTTTTAAAAATAAATCTTGAGTGTGTGTTTGGATATTGGATTAACTTATTTTGTGTTCAGAAAAGCTTTGTAATCAACATGTTGCAGATCGAACTTATGGCTAAAAAGTTGTTTGTGTGTAAAAATTAAGCAAAACTAAGCAGATTACAATTCACAAACATCCATATTCAACTCACCTCAATGCAACGGTTTCTTGTCATATGAGCAAATGACGTCTATTCCACAAGTCACCTTGTACACCCTTTTGCATCAAATTTGTATTAATTTGAATGGAATTAAAGTCAATGTCAAACATGGGAGTGACAGATATGTATGCTTAGTTCTGAAGTTTCTGCCACTGTGTTTTTTAGGTTAGTGGAATATTGGTATGTGAAGCTGGGTGCATATTGGAAAATATAATATCATTCCTGGACAATGAAGGGTAATCTTTTTCACTTTATAAGGTCATTGTAATCTGTAGTTTTTATGGATCAATTTCATAGAACTGTAATTAGATGAATTTTTTTATTTGGTTTTTCTTATGCTGTCTACTTTTGGAAGAAGAATTTACAATTCTACCGAAGTTGTTACTTTTCTTCCATATTTTGCTTTAATAATTCTGAAACAGAATTGATTTGGTCCTTTGCTTGACAGAATTATATTGATAATGGAAAAAAGATTTACCCTTTGGTTTGTTCTTTTCTCAAAATTATAAATGTTGCAAGTGCAGTGATATAACTTAGGTGTTGAAATTTTTGGATGATCAGTTCCCCTTTCTTTGCCCTTTTGAGTTATACAGCTCATAACTATGCTTTCTGTATTTAAGTTGTGTACACTTTTCATTCAGATTTATTATGCCACTAGACTTAGGTGCAAAAGGGAGTTGCCAGATTGGTGGAAATGTTTCAACTAATGCTGGTGGTTTGCGTCTTGTTCGTTATGGATCCCTTCATGGAAACGTACTTGGTAAGAAAATACTTTTAACCCATTAAACTTGAATGTTCAAACAGGTTGACTGTTGCTTGTTTTTCTATATCATCTGAATTCAATGTTTCCAAAGTCAATGTATCAACGCTGGATGATTGTATTGATTTAGTCATTTTTAGAATGTATTCCAGTTGAAAGGTGGAACATCTTATGTCAGAGTATCAAAGCACTGGGATTGCTCTATATATTGCAAACTTAGTGGCATCTTTGATCCGTTTTTCTTTTAGTTCTACTAAATTTATTCCAATGATTTCCTTGCAGGTGTTGAAGCTGTTCTAGCGAATGGTACTGTACTTGATATGCTTAAGACATTGCGCAAAGATAATACTGGCTATGATTTGAAACATCTATTTATAGGTATGTAATTAACAATAATGCAAGTCTGGAAAATAATAGATCATGTGATTGTAACTTAACCAACCAATGATGTAGGAAGTGAAGGTTCCTTGGGAATTGTTACGAAGGTTTCAATACTTACTCCACCAAAATTATCTTCAGTGAATGTGGCTCTTCTTGCTTGCAAAGATTATAGCAGCTGCCAGGCAGGATCAATGCTCTTATTTTGAAATTTATTTTGTTTAGTGAATTCCTAAAACTTAGTCATTGTTTTATTCTGGTTGCTGCATTTATTGCTTTAGTCACTTACCTTAATTGATTGACCTTTAGGATTTTGGTAATTTTATGGTGAGGAATTGAGAAGCATTGTATGTTTTCTTTTTTCTTTTTGTTTATGTTTTCCTTTTTCGTTAATGGGGACCCTTATCTTTCAAATTCATTTTATTTTTTTATCATTATCTTATTGAATTTTTTTATAAAAAGAAAAAATCACTTACATTAAGGATGTAGGATCCTGAATATGATACAAAAGGACTCACACGAACCTCATTATATTTTATAAGGAGCAGACACACATATAAGAAAGGTACGAAAACATAACAATCAGGTGTATTGCTGAAGAAAATAAAACAATTTATATAAGGATTTACTTAGATAATTGTAAAGAAACATTCCAACACAAAGGCTTAAGTTAATAGTTGAAGGCCACATTTATGGTTTTATATCATACTTATTAACACGCTTCCTCACACAAGAGTCCATTAGGTTTGAAGGGTGGACAATGCATAGGTTCACCTACCTGGGCTAAGAAATTCGACAATATTTAATTATTTATTAATGGAATTGGTGGGGAGGGGTGGAAATTGAACTCGTAACCACTTGGTTACAGTTGCTTTGATATTATGTAAAGAACAATTTCAACCAAAAAACTTGTTATGTGAAAGCCATGTTAATGGTTTTATATCATACTTCTCTAACAATATTGAATTATTTTGTTTGAAGGAAAACTTATCCACCACCAGTACCTTTGAATAAATAAATAAAGAAATAACTCACCATGAAACCCTGACTTGTGAGGGTAGAACAGTGGTAATATTTGTACGCAGTCTTACCTTTGAATTTATGCAAATAGATTGTTTCCTGGATTCGAACTCGTGACCACCAATACCTTTGAATAAGCATGAGGAAAACTGGTCTTTAATGACAAGATATTAAGCTTCATATGAACTTTATGTTACCAATTTAGGTGAAATTCTTATGTAAGTTTACCTGTTGCACTCATCTTTGTTTGTCAAATTTTCACAATTAATACTGCTAAAGAAGTAAAAATTATCTGAAATTTATATGATCATATTTTTTTGTGCAGTGTAATCTCTTCAGTCAATTTTTACTAGAAAAGTTTATGCCTATATACTTTCCCCTATTGTTTCTGAGAATGAAACAGGCATACATCTTATCAGATTACTTTTGTTTCTATGCTGCTCATCAGAAACTGCTACAGGAAGCAAAAAGGAAACTTGGGGAGATTTTATCTGCATTTGAATTTTTGGATAGCCAGTCTATGAATTTGGTAATCTCTACTTATACCTTGTGATGAAATTGATGTGTGTGTGTGTGTTTTGAATGCTACTTATAAATACATTAAAGTAATCTTGATGCATACACATATGTTAAAACTTCATCTAAATGCTACCATAATCTCTAGAGCTTTGATATGTTTAATTGATTCATCACAGAAGATTAAATATTCTAAAATAGCCAAACCTGTGTTCTGAAAAAAAAAAATGGTATGCAATGAAGTTTTATAACAACAAATTCACATGTATGAATCATGAAAATTAACTTTATGCTTGGTAATACTAACTACCTGTGTACAAGTGTGCAAATGATAGTTTCGCCATTCTGCATCCAAGAATTTAACAAGGCTACAGCTGACATACCATTCATGTGTCTGTTTGTAGTCTGAATTAAAGTAAATAGCATTGATGGTGGGGTGAGATGTTGAGCACAGGAGCAACAAAGAGAATAGTAATTATCACATAATGCAGACAATTAACAAAAATTGAAATATTATCTCTTGAAGTGATTTCTTACTGAATAGGTCGGTAGAGATTATAGATAAAACTGCCAATGGGAGTTATAAATGAAAAATCATTTTGTTGAGATTTTTAGTTTTTGCTGCTGTATTGGTAGGATTTAACATCTAAAACACAAAAATTTTCTCATATTCATTGTGTAGAAATTCATTTATGTGTTTCCTTTTCACACTTGAATGTAATTTCATCAACAAAATCCCACTGCAATTCCTACACCCCAAATATTTGAAGTCAACAAAAGGTAAAGCGTACTCACTAAAAAACACGCATAAATGGTAAAGTGTATAATAAATTTCTGGCCAATCCTATGATATAGGCATAATAACATGTCTATATGGAGCTTTTGACTTTGATCTATGGTTTTAAAGAGGGTCTACTTGTTGTCATTGAATCCATTATAAACTTTATGTGAATTACTAAGTAATTTCTGATTATTGCAATATGCAGAATTTGCACCAATCATAACATTAACTATCGTAATTTAATTTTTTTTTTTTTTGATTGAGACAAATTACTCCTATAAAAATCTAGTTGAGAACATGATTCAAATTTTGTGTCTATATTTTCTTTTTCCCTTGGTTGGATCGTAGTCATGCTGATTTGATTGGATTCCTAACAGGTTCTGAATCATATGGAAGGTGCTCGGAATCCATTACCTATGCCGCTGCATAACTTTTATGTTTTGATTGAGACAACTGGCAGTGATGAATCTTCTGACAAGTACAGTCCTTGCCACTTTACCTTCATTGACTTTGTTCTGAATTTTTATCAATTAAATACTCCCGTTTAAATTAAAATTTAATCCTGAATGGAGATCAGTGTAATTTACCATGTTAATGGATTTAGTTAATGCTGAGTTTCGTTCCTTCTCATCTAAGGCTTCTGCTGGCATTAACAAATTTGCACCAGCTACTTGTTATTCTTTTAGGGGGTTGGATAGGAGAATGAATTGTAGGGTCTAATCAGTAACAGATAAGGGGACACTTATTTTAATATCTTATCCTTCGTAATTCAAACTTACAGCATTCTAAGTTTATTCAAATGAAAAATTCTATGCAATGAGCCTTAAAATGTGCTTGAATATGTTCCTTAACATGTTTTCCTTTCTTTTCTTTTTTTTTGTGTTTTTGTTTTAGTTGTCCATTCAGAGTGTGTAATTAAGGTCCTTCACATTTGATGTCACATTTTATTTTGATATCTCCAGACAAAAGCTTGAAGCATTTCTACTTGGCTCCATGGAAAATGAATTGATATCTGATGGTGTTCTTGCACAGGACATAAACCAAGCATCATCTTTTTGGCTTCTACGTGAGGTTTATATTTTCCACTCCATGATTCTCCTTTTTGGAGGAATAATTTATGCTCTCCAAAATTAAGGATATATCCGTGCTGCGCTTAGCTTTAAATGTTGGTGATCTTGTTTCTCTTAGCTGATTTTCCAATTTTTTAGTCAGTAGTTATATCTATTTTGAATTTATACTCCATTTTTAAATCAACAAGCTTGACCGAGTTAGGTCAGCTATACACCTTGGATTTGAAATTTGTATACCAATGTCATATGAAATTGTTTTATATATGTGCCTGACTCCTTACCACTTGCATGCCTACTAAGGCTCTCTACTGGCTGCTTTATCCTTAGAGCAAATTTCAATTCAAACTTTCCATATGGTTTCACACATTTACTCTTAAGAGTGGTATGAACTTCCTGCTCAATTGCTCATATTTATTCTTCTTCTTTTTTTGGGCTAAGATGCTCATTTTTATTCTTATTTCAGCTGTTGATGCTGCTGTTATAGGTTCTTGTGGATGCTTTTCAGTAGAGTATAGACCCTTCTTTTTATTTCTTCTCAGCTTATTGACATGGACAAAATAACTAGATGTTTGAACGTATTGAGTAGAAGAATTACAGTGATTGTGCTGCAGAAACTAATTTCATTTACCTATCTCATGAGGAGTTTGAAAAGGATTTCCCCCCCCTAAAAAATTGCTATATCTTCTGTTTATTGTTCAGCTATGGTTTGTCGTCAGTAACTAAAATTTCAGTTTAATATGAAATTTTAATAATTTTTCTATGAAAAAGTACTATTTTAGAATTTGGTTATATTAGATGGTATTTAATGTTTTCAGAGTATACCAGAGGCATTGATGAGAGCCGGAGCTATTTACAAGTATGATTTATCGCTACCTGTTGAAAAGATGTACAATCTTGTCGAAGAAATGCGCTCTAGACTAGGTAAGAAGCAGACCAACGTTTCCATTTATTTGTCATATTTTCGTTTCCCTAAGTTTACGGTGCATAGAAAACCTACATATACTTTAGACTTTAATGTAAAATATGCCATCAGTTGTATCACAATCGTGCATATTAGAACACGATTATGTATTTTATTTTATTTTATTTTATGTGGAATTGTAGGTAATGCAGCTAATGTAGTTGGCTATGGTCACCTTGGAGATGGTAATTTGCATTTAAACATTTCTACTCCTCGGTATGATGACAAGGTGGCTCAAGCAAACTCAAAAGAACTGTTTAGTTTCGAAATCATTCTTTTCATTTTATATAATAAGATTATCAGTATTAAAATTTGCAGATTTTATCACAAATTGAGCCATTTGTGTATGAATGGACATCTAAGCACGATGGCAGTATTAGTGCAGAGCATGGTCTGGGACTAATGAAAGCTAACGAGATTTTCTACAGCAAGTCACGTGAAACTGTATGTATACCATTATTGACCCAAGTTGCAGTTCTCTATTTGTGAATTGAATGTCTAAAGTATGTATCAAATTGAACAGGTGCAACTGATGGATTCAATCAAGAATTTGATGGATCCCAATCACATACTCAACCCATATAAAGTTCTTCCTCACTCTCTCATTTCCTAGTCTTACGAGGGAAACTTTGATCTTTTGTTTGTATCTTTGCTCACTTCCCTTAAAAGTGAGATATGGTTTGCTTCTTTGATTTCCTTAGAATGCTTCCTTCATTTGCTGCTAAATAATAATTTACTGTTCGAAACCCAAAAAAAGAAAATACTTACTGCGACATTGTAGATAATAAATAATTATGTACTAAATTCGTGTTAATCTTCCATAAATGTCCATTTTTTAGTACATACATCGGTTTGACTAATCGGATCAGGAATCAACTATATTTTTATATAAATATTATTTACTTTTTTATATAAATATTATTTTGTTTAAGAGGAGGGATATAATTATACAGAAAAATATTTCTGCTGTTAATGCAAATAAATTATCTGCATTTATTTTCAAAACAACGTCGTTTTGGGATTGAAAGATTAGAAAATTATAATTATAAAGACTGTAATAATCTTGAAATAAATTAAAATTATAAAAACATCATGATTTTCGTCCTAAAACGATGTCGTATTGAGCTTACTGCAGATAACTTATCTGTCGTAACTGCAAAAAAAATGAACCCATAATTATAATGTAAAAGTTTTACAACATCTTATTATTAAATTTTAACCGTTAATTTTTGCTGATCTAATGGTTATAATTTGTTAGGATATATTTATTAATTTATTAATTTTTAATAAATTATAATCGTTAAATTAATAAAAATTAATGGTTAAAATTTAGTGGTAAGAAGTTGTAAAAAATTTAGGTTATAAATATATCTTCCCTCTTAGTTTAATAATAATTTAGGACTCATGTATTTTATTTTTGAATGAATATTTTGAGAATAAATTAAATGTATTAAAATTGAAAAAAAAGTACTTTGCAGTTTGCCCTCCATATACTAGCGCTTTGCGGTCATTAAATCAAATTGAGAATGTATGGCTATAAATATAAATAGGGAAAGTATTGTCTCACGTAGAAAGTTATGTCATCATTTTTTTTTTTTATGGGTGATGAGTCCACCACATCATGTGTCTTCAATAACATGAGAAATAAAACCCATATAAATAACCTTTAAATTATAGATTAAAATTCTCAATAGAACTGATCCGACCATGAATTAGATATATTTCTTGTTTATTTAATTTAATTATGTTTTAGAAACTGTTTGTTAAAAAAATTAATTAAAATATAGGTTTGTGGAAATTTTATAATTATTTAAATAGATTTTCTTAGAAAAATAGCTTTAGTATTTATTATAAGTTAAAAAAGTTAATCCTAAAAAGGTTTTGAGAAATTATATTACAAAAGTGCTTTATTTTTAGGTAAATGATTTTTTTTTGGTAAAAACAAAAAACTAGTAAGTGTCGTAAATCTTGTATGTGACTTCAATGGTGTATTTGTTGATCACGTGGAATTAAGATCAAATTAATTACACCATTAATGTCTAAAAAATGAGTATTTATTTAATTAGTCACTATTACAATTACACAGAGAGACTTCTATTGGATTTACACTCACCTGGTCAATTAATGTGATTAATAATGTCTTAAAATTCTTATTTTTCTTAATTTTATTTTAATGATATGATACTCTGGTGCCTAACAATTAAGGCGGTGATCATCTTCCTTATCCCTCCCTAATTTCACCACTACTTACAAGTTCATATTATGCAAATCATTCTAATCACTCTTCATAGCTTATTTGATGGCAAAATGTGGGGAGGCCCAAGCAATGTAATTTTTAATTGGATTTTTCATTATTTATTAACTTCTTCTCCTCAAAAGCATGAGCAAGAAAATATAGACTAGACGATTCGCCCGTGTTTGTCAATACTCAATACTACACCCATCTTTCATGATGTTTCAACTCACAACGTGATGGTATGTTTTGACCCGAAGTTTTTCCAAAGGACAAACTGGGATATAAGTGTTCCACTAATCACGCGTGGAATATGCTTATCTCCAACCCTGAATTTGCCTTGGAAACAAGCAAAATTTAGAAGTTTAAATTTATTAGTGCTTAAATTGGGACACGACACACACGACACGAGGTCATTGTAAGGCATCCACTGAGAACAAAAAAGTTATAAAAACCATAAAGTCGTAAAGTTTTTTATTTCTCCCTAGCTAGTCTTAATATTCTCAGGGTTTCAGCAGAAAGCAGAAAGGCACTAGCAGCGCCGCTTTGTAGTTTTTCTCAGCTCGCACTTCTGGTTTTATAAATTAATGCTATTGTCTTCATGAAAAAACCTAAATAAGTGTATTTATCTATAAGTATAAAACTATATTATATATAAAAATATAAAGTTAGAGATTCATAAAAGACGTTATTTTTTCAAATTAACTATCATTTTCCATATCTCACTATAACAAAATTTTATGCCATTATGTTTTTTAAGATAAAAGCTGATTTTTTTTTTCAAGATAATTGCCTAATTTAAAATTACAGAAGACTGGTTTATCAAAAGATCAAAGCTTACTTTAATATTTTTTATAATTAAATAATTAGTTGAGTAGTGTTATTTTAAACAAAAAAAATCATTCTTTAAATATTAATAAAAATAAAAGACTGAAATTTTACAACTATTTCTGTTTGTGATAAGTATAATGATATCTTACTTTGAAAAAGGTCTTTAAAAGAGAATTTATATTTGAAGTGAATTAGATGAGCATCCTCTTATTTTATATCACTTATTTATAGTTTTATAAAAGTTATTGGCTTCTAATTCAGTGGCTGATCCTTATTGTGATAAGGAGAGTCATGCTCATGCCTTTTACAAAAGTCATTAAAACCTTTTGAAATATATTTAAAAAACAAACATTATGCAACTTGTAAGGAAAAAATATTAGAAAGAACTGTCAAAAAAGAATTTATTGAAATCGCGACTTAATATTTAATTTTTTTGCTTAAAATTACGGCTGGAAATCATTCAGTCCTTGATCCTTTTTTACAACCACAATACTGAATTATTCTATTATTAACCATAACCTTATAAAAACTAGGGGAATATGTTATTTATCTTGTATCAGATAAAATTATTTCATACAACACACAAAAAGGTTTGTGGGATCCACTAAAGAGAAGAAAGAAAAAGAAAAAATGGATTTCACTCACTTTTTGTGTGTACATGAAACAATTTTATCTTATGTAACACGAGAAACATATTTTCCAAAAACTATTATACTTTCATTTCTTAATTGTATTCACTCAAATCAACATTGTTGGGTTTGTCCATGACATGATCATCAGTTGTCATAGCCACATCCATACTTACTGGTTCAATTTTATTTTATTATTTCTTTATGCAATTTTAAGTCTATGTAAATAATAAAGATCAAATTCAATTCCGAATACATATATAAAATATGCAATTTACAACAACTATATAATTCTTTAAATCTTAGATCATAATAAATGATTCGAGACCAATATTTTTTTTTCTCCCGCAAACTTTTTCTTCGAGCTCTGCACTGTTCGAATCTTAAACGAGTGTGGGTGGAGGGACCATTAGATTCATATCAAGGCAAATAATAGTGTCTAGTTGTTTTGGGGCTTTCACTTGACAACCTGGCTGAAATATGATACACCCAACGCACGTTGCGAAAGTAACTTGACATTAATAATAAGTAGTGTTCATGCATCAATTCTTAAAATATGAACTCTACAATCGGACATATCTTCCCATTTTATCTGAGCTTTATTATACGAATATCACTATCACTATTCACTAGGATCCACACGAGGTTCTATATTGAATTCCATCCTCCAATTTTCACAACCCGACCAATGGCTTGTAATGAAATTATGGACCACGTCTTCGCTCTTCAACGGCTCAAAGTTTTACGTGACTCCTTTGTCTATTTTGGATTTTGTTAAAGGTAAAACTAATCTTATATTACATAAGATAGTATACTTCATATTGTGAAAGAAAATTAAGGTGGGATCCACTGGCTTTTTGACCCTTTTACCCCTCATTAATTAATTAATAACCAATTTGCCCCTCTCTAAGAACTATCCACCATCCTGCTCTCATTTAGTCGATCAAGTTGCACTTTTAATCGACTAAATGGGCAAAATTCAGAAATCAAGAAACACGAATTTTAGTCGACTAAATATTCACCTTGATCGACTACATGTCGAGCACATTTAGTCGACTAAGACCATTATTTAGTCAACTAAATATCGCAGAAAATCCTATATCCAGACCTCTCTCGGTCTCATTTGCAATATTTTCGAAATCAAAACCCCTCTTTCTCTTGTTTGTCAGCTGTGATCCTTCCAATCACCCTTCCATTTCATCCCACCATCTCCAATGCATAGTAATTGTGAAATCATTGTCATTTCCCTTATTTTCTGATTTGTTTCCCCCAAATCCGAACCCAAAACCCTAAAATACGATTCCTACCCCCAAATTCGTGTGAAAGATAAGCTCAAGTCCAAACATGTATGTTACCATGATTTACTATGATGGAAAGCATTATGAAGGCCCCAACGGTGTTCAATTTGAAGGAAAAACGAAAATGTTGAAAATCAAACGGGGCACTACGTACAATGAGCTTAAGGGGAGGATTCACCAAAAATTGGGGCTACAAGGCAGCCAGTACGTTCAACGGATGATCGCCAGGGTAGAGTCTATGGTTGGTAAGGATGCTATATTCTACATTGGTAATGATATATGTGACGATGAAGATGTGGAATGTGTCATAGATGCAATTGTGGACCGAAAATTTCAAAACTTTATTGAGATATATGTTGAAATAGACTGTGGTCAATCTTCATCTTCACCTATGCATGAAAGAAGTCAAAGTCAAGAAGGCAGAGTGGTCGATTTATCTGCTCCTGCACCTATCTTAAGTCAGATAACACTGAGGGAAATAGACGAGTACGAGGATGAGCATGAGGAGGATATGGACAGTGAAGACGATGGTGAACCCGAGAGTGTTATTCCGCTGGGTGACAGCTCAAATACGGACGTAGAGGGAAATTTTGACGCTGACACTAGTTCAGGAAACTTGAGTTCCCAGGTGATGCCACCACTCCGTGTTGACCCTGTTAGCTGTGGTAAGATAGTAAATTAAAGTTTTTAAATGAATATTTCCTATTTGTGTTATCAATCGTACTGACGAAAAACTCCTGGAATTTGGACGTAGGTTCTGATATTGAGCC